CTATGTAAACCACCTCCTGAGTCTTTAACCCAATTATGTATTTATTGTCTAAAAGTTCTGTTGGGTTCTTTAAAAATCATTTTAGATAACCTATGAATGCCTTTTTTTTTTTTTTAAATCCAGTGAGGCAAATACTTGAATAGCTTGCTGGTAGGAGCTGCCCTGGCTCCTGTGAATGAATTAAACCTTTAATACATAGTTACAGTTATTTAAATAGTCTGTATTTGATAACTCCAAAGTCTGGAATTCCTGAGGATTTAAGTGTTGTTTTTCTGCTGACTCACTTGTGGCCACTCACGGAGGTAATCTTTGTGAGCTCATATCGGTTTCATCCTAATGTATGGAAATCCTCAAGGTCTAAATATTTTGTCTTTTCTAAAACTTCTATTTGGCTCTTTTTTCAAATGCACACCGTCATTAACACCAGGGTGCAGGAGATACCTTTTCAGAGAGGAGTGACTATTGCTTCTTCCAGAAGCCAGAAGTCCCTGCTGATATGGGACCACTTTCATATCCTTCCAGGAGTCTCTGTCTTAATGCAGGAAACTCCAATCAGCAGCTCTATTCTATAACATATTCAGGACTTCCTTGCACAATCACAGAGCTGATGTTGATGTTTTCCCTTAGAGCTGCTCTAACTTTTGCATTTGCCCAAGACCGTTTTGCCCAGTTCCCTATTTTGGTTTTACCTAATGATAGTATTCACATGTGTTTATACTTATGTGTGGGTGTTTGGAGATTTTCCTTTTTCTCCCTTGCAAGTAGCTCATTAAAATAGTTTTTTCATGGAAAAGCTGGTTGTTTTGTGAGCAAAAAGCTGACATACTGCTAGAAATGAATTTCTCAAATATTTTTTCTGTTATTCAAAATTCCAAGCATGCACTAAAGGACAATACAATGAAATCCCACATACCATCACCCACGTTCACTTACCACAGTTTTGTCATCTATCCTCCTTTCTATGGTTTTGTGAGCCCACTTCCTTTTTTTTTTTTTTAAGATTTTATTTATTTATTTATTTGACAAAGAGAGAGAGAGAGATCATAAGTAGGTAGAGAGGCAGACAGGGGTGGGGGGGAAGCAGGCTCCCTGCTGAGCAGAGAGCCCAATGCGGGGCTGGATCCCAGGACCCTGAGATCATGACCTGAGCTGAAGGCAGAGGCTTAACCCACTGAGCCACACAGGCACCCCAGTGAGCCCACTTCTTAAACTTAAATATATTTATTTTAAAGAGAAACTTCATATTGACTCTATGAAATGGAAAACTATGTTCTTTTGCCATTAATAGAAAGAAACTATAAGAAATACAAGGAAAATCAAAGTTATTAAAAATTAAGAAAATGAATAATAAAATATAAAAGCCATAATTAATTGATTTATATATACCTATCTAAAGAGTTTCTCAGTGAGGATAATGGAAGAACACATGATCAATCAGTTATAAACGTATATGAAAGCACATTGTCTCTTCATTTAAGATAAGGATTAGTTTCTGGAATAACTGCATGTCCAAAACTGTTCCATCATCATACTACATAATTACAGAAGCAACAAAATAATTTTAGGGTATTTATAAATTTGAAAATTTTTAGGCAAATAGTCTGATTACCAGAAAATATTGAAAATTACTTAAAATTTTAAAGAAAATTTGAGAATATGGAAAGTTTAAAGAAGAAATAATAAAATGATTTTGTCTTTTGGTTTCAATATTATAGCACCAAGAATCCCAACTTCCCACATAAACCTGCAATTGGAAAGGAAGGGCAAAACATATTTAGTCCCTTTCTAGGTTTCAGTGATAACATATTTATACCTACTTTGCATTATGAGCAATTGGCGGCTTCTGAAGTGATGGTTAATGTCTCACTGAAGATAACAGAAGTACTGAATGTTTAAAATATTTATGGGCTGCCTGTGTAACATGGGTATCACAGATCCAGCCCAGGATTCACTGATCTGTAAGCAGTCACAGAGAACTGTGCATATCGTGCTACTCAAAGCCATGCTTTCACAGCGAAAGAATATAAAACAAAATCAGCAAAGGGACTTGGGGCAAAAGTCCAGAGAAAACAAAGTTGTGACAACACATGTGAAATATTGTCTCCCAAGGACATGCATCAGAGACTCAGTTCCCAAGGGTTTTACTGGAGACTGGTCCCTTAGCCAGCACCCACCCAAGTTCCAGAGTCTCAGAAGGAACACAGCTATTCAGCATCAGGTGCTCCCATTGTTTTCATAAACCGTTTGTGCACAGGGAACCACTATGAGCAGTGGTGAGAACCCTTCTAAAATCCCAAGTTCCCAGGCACTAGCAAAGGGCCAACCTTAAAAGCAGGATTTTTTAGGGATAGTAGTCTGAGTTCTGCTACGTTAACTTTTCTCTGAAGACATAGCTCACTGCTATACTATCTACTTTGGTCTTATCCTAAGTGATAATACCTATGAAATCACAGTGTTGGTGTGGTTTTTATATGTAATATAAATTGAAATAAATATATAAGTATTAAAATTTCAAATGTTAATGTGTGTACCATCTCATACCCATGGTATGGGATACATGTGACTACTTTAAAACAGAACAAAACAAAAAAACAGAAAATAACCAGTGTTGGTGAGGATGTGGAAGAATTGAAACCCTTGTACACTGGTGGTGGGAATGTAAAGTGATGAAGCCTCTATGGAAAACAGTTCCTAAAGAAATTAAAAATGCAATTACCACTTCCATTTCTGGGTATATACCCAAAAGGATTGAAATCAGGGTCTTAAAGAGATGCTGGTACACACATGTTCATAACATCATTCACGGTAAAAATATGGAAGGAACCCAAGTGACAATCAACAGATGAAGGGATAAACAATATTTGCTAGATACATACATTGGAATATTATCCAGCCTCAAATTAGGAATGAAATTCCTTAATATGTTATAAGATGGATGAACCTTGAGGACATTAAGCTAAGTGAAATAAGTCAGTCACAAAAAAAAAAAAAACCCAAATACTGTATGATTTTACCTATATGAGGTACTTAGAGTGGTTAGATTCATGGAGGGAGAAAAACAGTGGTGGTTTCCAGGAGCTGAGGGGAGTGGGGAATGGGGAGTTATTGTTTAACGGGTGTAGTTTCAGAACTGCAAGATGGAAAGAGGCATATGGGTAGATGATGGTGATGACTGTACCATAATGTGAATGTTCTTAATGGAAGTGTACGCTTAAAAAGAAGTTATCAAGTCCTGAAAAGACATGGGACATATTATTAAGTGAAAGATAGCAGACTGAAAAGGCTCCATGCTAGATGATTCCAACCATGTGACATTCTGGAAAAGATGAACTATGGACACACTAAAAGATTAATGGTGCCAGGGGTGTGCGGAGGGGTAGGGATGAATTAGAGGAGCACTGAGGATTTTAGGGCATCAAAACTATTCTTTATGATACCGTAATGGTGGATACATATTATTACAGATTTGTCAAAACCCATAGATCATACGATTCTGAGAGTGAAGTCCAGTGTAATCTGTGGACTTTGGGATACTGAATTGAAACACAGCCTCATCAGTGGTAACGCATGCAACACTCTGCTGGGATATGGATTGTAGGGGGGCCTCTGCGTGTATGGAGATGGGGGTTATTTGGGGACTCCCTGTACTTCCAGCTTAATTTGGCTGTGAATCTAAAACTGCTTGAAAAAATACAGTCTATTTAAAACCAACCAACAAAAATACTTTGTATGGCAAAATGCTATGTGCACACGAAGGGCAATTACTGCTTAAAGAGGCAGGTGCTGTACTTTGCCCGCACAGCTCGGCATTTCCAGGGAGATGCTTAGAAACAGAACATCTTTTGGAGCTGTTTTTTTCTTCTCTGAATAAAGTTAGTGTGCTAGAGGCCAAGGGCAACACCTTCGTGACGGGGGCAGCCAGCTTTCCCGTGTTCCTTCCCTCGGCCCTCACACACAGGTATGTGACTGGAAGCTTCGTGAACTAATTCCTGAGAGATGAGTTAACTGCAGAACTGGCCTTCAGCCACTTCCTCTCTCTGCGCTTTGGTTTCCCTACTTGAAGGGAAGGACATTTTAGATGTTTTCTAAAACGCTTTCCAGCTCTGGGCTTCTAGGAGTCTTCTTTTAATTTTCCCAGGGGCCCTTGCTTTCTCTGGCTTCGAGGCCTCTGGACATGTGGTTCCTTCCACTAGGATCACCATCCCCACTTGCCTGGCTAATGGCTTGCTGTTCCGCCTTTCTGGTCTCAGCATTGGTATCACTTTGGGGGAAGTCCTCCTGACCTCTCTACACAGGACTAAGTGCCCTTCTCCATGCCAGGAGATCCCCACTCATCTTCTGTTTCTGTGCTTAATATACTAAATGATAACTTTCTGTTTACTTGTCTCCTCCCCACTCTAGACTGCCCCCCACTGACTGTAGACTGTTGTATTTATATCACACACACACACACACACACACACACACACACACACACACACACTACAGGGAGTCTCAGGCCCAGATTTTCTTGGGGATGCGCCAGCTCTGTCTCTGCTTGGGGAGCTTCCAGACCCAAATCCTCTGGGAAGGACTATGCCTCCAGAAACACTCAACCACCAGCTAGAAGCTGTGAGTGGGAGAAACATCTTTCTCGTAAAGGAACACTTTACATTATTAAAAGAATCATTACTATTAGAACTTACTTGCAACAGAGCCTTTCTAAAGGATCACAGGGTCCCTTTAAGTGTGACCTTTTTACATATTTGTTTTTAAAAATTTATCAGAGGGAAGATTTAAGATCTGCAGTCTCCCAGCCCAAGGATCTTTCAAAGGTTAAGGCGAAGGATCAGAAATGATAATAATTAGAACAGACCTTTGCGCACTTGGTTTGGAATTTTCCATTGCATTGACAGGAAGGCAGACACCTTCTGTCCTGGCACCTTCCTGCTGTCCCGGGTTGGCTTCGTCCACCCTGCACCTTTGTTCAGCTCCGCCCAGTACCGCCTGGCTGTGTCCTCTCTGCCCATCGGCCTCAGAGCCAGCTCTGGGTGTGCCGAGATGGGGCTGCCTGGGCCAGGGCTGTGGCTGAAGAGGTTCTGGGTCCTCTTGCAGGTGGTGGTGCACGTGGCCGTGGGCAAAGTGTGCCTGATACTGTTTCCGGAGAGAGTCAAGCAACACATCTTGGCCATGAACCAGAAGAACCCCCACTTTTCTTATGACAACTGGGCCCCGACCTTCTACAGCATGCAGTATTTCTGGTTTGTCCTGAAGGTCCGATGGCAGCGACTAGAGGACAGGACGGAGCCCGGGGGCCTGGCACCCAACTGCCCTGTAGTCCAGCTCTCAGGACAGAGATGCAACATCTGGGACTTCATGCACGGTGAGGAGATGGCTGCAAACCTGAGATGTGCTTGGTTGGAATGGGGGTGTAGAGGTGGGTGGGGAGGTGGGTTGGAAAGTCCTGACTTCTCCCACGCTAGCTGTTCCTTTTTTGGTTTCTTGTCCTCTTCTCACTTCCTGAAACTGAGATTTCTAGATTCTGTTCTTCTGAGCGGCATCGCCACCTTCCCAGGTCCTTAACCCGCAAACCAAACGCCTTCAGCGCCTTCCACACGCTCTTCAGCTTTGCCTGGTGGGCTCCTGCTCACCCTTCACACTGCCACTCGGTGACGCTACCTGCGATGAGCCAACCCTGGCTCCCCCAGACTAGCTCAGCCCCTCATCCAGACTTAATGTCCTCAACTCTTTATCACGTTTGACCGGGTAGGTAGTTACACATGGGGGTGTTTGGTTACTGTATCCCGCCCTCACTGGCCTGCACATTCTGGGCACATAGAGCCTGTGGATGAAGCCCAGGCCCAGCCTTGTATTCAAGGTCCTCCCTGGGCCAACTCCTGCTCCCCTTCCCAGTCTCACCTACAGGGTCCCCCCTCAGTTCTATCCTCCGGATGAACCCTTGAGCCTGGCACGTCCCTCGTACTCTCCCTTCCCTGCCTTGCTGGTGTTGTTGGCTCTTCCTGTATCTCACCAACAGTCCAAAACCCCACACCAGCTGAGCCTGCTCTCCTGTCCCCCTTCCGTGAGGACCTCTCAGATCCCTACAGCTAGGCACACGCTCTCTCTCCTGGGCTCATGGCTCTGCATCTGCCCCTCTCCACAGACTCTGAGTCTTTCAGCCGCGCCTCTGGCTGCCAAGCACAAGTGTTTTCTTCCCACCTGATGGGGAGCCTCATGACAGAACTGTGTCTGATTCATCTCTGAGTTCCCAGGACCTAGACCCAGCAGACTGAGTAGAGAAGGTTCCTGAGGCAAGTTATAATAGGCAACCAAATCTAGTGATTTCCAAACATGTTCTTTGGAAGCCAAAGCCTACAGATATGCTTTACCATATTGAGTTTCCTGACTGAAATAGTCTGGGAAACCCTGTACACCCTACCCTCCTCCTGGAAATTCATAGAACACACACATACTTAAAAAGCTCTGAGAAGCCCTGAAGCTTAAAAACAAACAAAACTTGAAAAAACTGAGAAAACACTTGTCTGATTTTCCTAAAGTACAACCCCTGACTCTCCACCTGAGCAAATGCCCAGGTTCCAAAGAACAACCTTTGGGAAACGTTGGCCTAATCCAATCCTCTCACTTTAGAAGGGAGACAGAGAACACTGAGAGGCAGACGTAACACAGCCAGTGAGTTACCAAGTCAGAGCCAGAATTTGGACTTCCTCATCTCATTCTTTCCAGTGCACCTTGGCAAACATTCATGAGCCCAGCCCCCAACTAGATGCCAGGGGCTAAGAGTTAGGTAAGAGCTTCATCCTTCCCTCGACGAGTCTATGGTTTCATAGACTCATCTATCTTCATAGATAGATGTCATAAACAGATCCTCACAGTTCTGTGAGACGGGGGAGGCTGTAAAGGTATAAACTTTGCCTGCAGGGATTGGAAGGTTTCCTGGAGGAAGTGGTTTTGGAACGAGCCCTTGAAAAACGAGAAAGATTTTTGTAGCTTGGGAAGGGAAAAGTGTTTCGAGCAGAGGGAAGGGCACGAGTTTTTTGCTCCTGACTCGACGACTGAAGTACACAAATGACCTCCTTCTATTCAATATCCACTAAGTGACCCCTGATAATAAGAGCAATGAGAATAACCACGAACTTTTATGGAGTATCTCCTGTGGGCCAAGTGTTGTGCTAGAACCAGGCCAGTTTGCCAAATATCCAGCTAGTGAACGGTTCTGTGAAAGCCAACTTGCCTCACAGCAGTTTCCAGAATGTACTTGCTTCTTTTAACTCTTCACTTTTGTGGGCCAGTTTACGTTTTAAAGACTGTTCTATTGGTCTCTGTTCCCTGCTATTGCACCTGAGACTGAAGAATGGAAAGAGAAGGAGACCAAGAGACAAAAGAAAACTCTACCCATAAAACAGAGCTGGCTTTTGGCATATGGACCCAGAAATAATGGTACTGAATGGTCCTGAAATAGTAGATGCTGGTGGTACGGACCTCAGCATGACTGGTCTCTGCCCTGGAAAATCTCATAGCCCGGAGGGGGAGATGGTGTAGTGAGAGAGGGAACCGGAGGGTTCTGGAAGAAGTGGGATGAGATAGGGAGGCAGGCAGAGGAAGGCTTCTCAGAGAAGAGGATGGTGAGCTCTATACCTAGGGACAGTGAAGCCTTGGGATGGGTAGGGTAAGGGGCGGTGGGGAGCAGAGCAGGGCAGAGGAGAGGAACTACAGAGGGCCGAGCTGTGGAGGACCATGGGTCAGTTTTGGCAGAAGTGGGGCTGTGGGGGGCATGAAGCTGGGGAAGATTGAGGCTGGACACAGCATCAGGGACCAGTGTTTAAAGGATCTTATGTGTCTTATTGAAGAGGGTAGACTTCAACCTGAGAGTATTGGTGAATTCTAGAAGGATTTTCAAGTAGGGTGTTAACAATGATCAGGTATGCCTAGTAGAAAGCAATCCAGTAACTGCTTTGGAAACCCACCAGCCACTAAAAAGCTCTGATGTATGCTTTGGGTATAAATCTGAACTCATTTTACAGCCATAAAGCAGAAGGTCTAGAAGACTCTACAGGTAATCTAAAGCAGTTCTTTCATTTTTCACATGCAAAGGCCCAGAGAGGTAAATTACTTGCTCAGAGTCAGTCGTATGGCAAGTGTTTGTAAAGCCTGAACTAGAACCTGTAGCTTCTGGCTCTCCAGTAGTGGACTTGTTGTTGGATAAGACGACAAAATTTCAGAGGAATTCCCAGCCCCCTCCTATCCTCTGGGTGTACACACATGAGGTACACACACTCCCAGAGCAAAACACAGTTTAACTGGTGAGTGGTGGTAGAAGGCAAGTCTGGATCATTTATTTTCTAGGTACTTGGGAGTTAATAGGAAACCGGATTTATATCAGCCCCTGTTTATTATCTTCTAAAATCTCCCCAAGTGTACTTAGGAGGGGTCATCCACTAACGATAAATGGGCTTTCTCTGTTAAGAGAGCCTGACCTGGAGGTCATGATGGTGAATTCAAGTCCAGCTGCTATGGGGCTGTTTCCCCATTTCTTTCTTTTTTTTTTTTTTAAGATTTTATTTATTTATTTGTCAGAGAGAGAGAGAGAG